AACAAGGACCCTAATTCTTCTTGGGAATAAGAGAACCTCTCTGTTGGGTATACAGTATTCAGTGGGTCTGAGAAAACACAAACCCCACTCAAGTCTACAGACTTGTTTACACAGAAATCTGAACCTGTTGCTGGCCTAGGTCTGAAGCCTGTTCTGGGCATTGTTTGTTGCAATCTGCCCAGGCCCCCGAGCCCCTACCCACAGCCAACACCACACACATACCTTGAGAATAGAACCTTTCTTTGGGCAAAGGGGGGTTGGAATAGGATTGGGTGACCACAGTGCGAGGTCACGTACATTGCTGAGGATGGGCACGTTTAATTTGATAAGACTATGGCCATGAGCTTTTATTCCCAAGTGGTCTAACAAAACAATGGTGAAAATAACCAGCATCTCCAGCAAACAGAGAACTTCAGGTGTGGTTGTTGTGGCCATGGTTCTGATGATGTTACAATCCGAGCCTAGCCCAGCCACTGGAGTTAGTCTACGCGTTGTGTATGCCTGGGAAAATAAAGCAGCACCACCAGGCAGGAAGTTCCTCCTTTCCCTCCTGTGTCTGATGTATTGGGTGTCTTCTAAGCCCTAATGAGCCTCACTTTTTACAGTAAATTTGCTGAGACATCAAAAAGTATTTAAAAGAAAGTTTCCTATTTTTTCCTAATGAGCAAGGTGAGGATTTATGGTGTCCGTGGGGAGGACGGGATCCAACGGCTAGGGCCAACCCTGAGCAAAGTCTATTTAACACCCTCTAGCTTAGCTCCCTCCTGCATTTGGGGGGTTCAGAGCGCTTAGTTGTGGGAGTATAGAGACATGCAGTTAGGGAGTGAAAAAACGCCATTTGGTTCGGAGCAGATGGCTGGCTAGGGGGCTGATGGCGTCTAAAGGCGTGTCGTCCCCCTCCAGCTCAAATCCCTAAGGGCTCCCCTTGTCTTCCCAATCAATGAAAATTAAAGTGCAAAGAAAGGATGAATAGTTGGACCTCGAGTCTCTCCTTTGTTCATCCCAGCTACTGGTGCGCAGGAGTTAAACTACAACAGCCTCCTATAGAAGCGCTGAAGTTAAACAGTCTCCCCGTTAGCTCAGCTTTTGAAAGAGAGAGGGAGAGGAACCGACTTGGGGGGGGGGGGGGAAGGGGGGGGGGGGGGGGGGAAGGGGGGGGGGGGGCAGGAGCAGGAGCAGGAGGAGGA